AAAGTTTATTTTTGTTTGTTAACATACCAATTAAAGGATCCATTTCAATGGGAAGATGATGGGCTTGATCCAAGGAGTATCCTGGAGCTCCTCTGAGGCCTAAAGATTAAGAGAGAGAGAGAGGGAGAGAGAGAAACTACCATAAAATTCTCAGAAAGAAGGAATTTCCCAATGATCAGTGTTTTATGATGATTGCACAAAATGCATATTTGCTTAAAAATTATTTGGTAAATTAGTCTAAGAATGATTCAGTCACATTATGTCTTTGTAGAGAGCCTTAAAAATCATCACAACAGGGCCTTTAGGTCCCCTTTTATGATGCAGAAAGCTGGAAAGAGTCTTGTTTCCATCCTAAAGATAAGAAGCTGGATAAAATAGAAAATCGTAACATTTCTTGATCCCATCAGAAAGCTAAGGTCCATGAGCAACCAACGAGACTGAAATCAGGGAAAAGGCTGTACCTCCAAGCAAGGAGAGGTATGAGCCTGGGCTTTGGGGCAGGGCAGAGGAAACTGGGTCTCCCATCCGAGGGGACCTTCTTTCAATACATGACAAGTAAATTAAAGGTATAAAATTGGGCCACACCTAAAATATTAATCTCACTATAAGCTACTTTCAGGGGATTAATGTTTAGGGCTGATTGAGTTCATAAGTCATTTTTCATACACGATTATATAATATATGTAATTCTTTTGAACAATTTTAAAGAACAATTTTGCCCTTTATAGTTTTTTCCTCAATGAAAAACATTTCTAGAGGCTAGGACTCCTGTGAGTGATAAAGTCATAAATTTTCCTTAAGATGTTTGCTTCATATTTCTGACTGAATGGAAGTAGTGCTGCCTCATGTTGGTATCTCCAATGACCATAAAATAGGTGCACTTAGAAACTCTTAGGAGAGAAGCCATTGTACAAATCACTTTATTTTTCAGAGTGAAGTAGAGGTCAGTGGAATAAAAAGAGTCAGGCTACTTCAACGTGGCTCATCAGTCCGCTGCTGGGGACAGTGGGAGTCCTGGGGCTTCCAGAAGACCTTAACTGGTGAGCTGGGCCAACTAAATCGTGTGGTCCCATCTACTTCCGCCCTGGTTAAATAAGCATTAATATGTCTAAATTTTTGCAACAGCATTATATCACTTCAAGATGTATTGGCTAGAACTTTCAGGAATGAGTTTGGAGAAAACACACGTGAAATCACTGAACAATTTAGATTTTTGTCTTTTCTCAAAGACTCAAGGCTGTACAAGGACAGAGATGGTACTTGCCTTGTTCATTGCTGTATTCCCAGTGCTTAGGACCACTTGAAACATAACAGCTATTAATATTCAATTATTTTCTAAATAAATTACTGACGTGGCACAAAGAGGATTTGAAGCCATCATTCAGAAAATTCAGATTCAAACTCACTTTTGTTTAATATGAGGCAAAAGTGGTTTTTGGCAGGGGAGGAGCAGTGGCAGAATAGAGTGGGAGGACCTGAATTATTTTGTAGAACTGTTTCATTGTACCAAATATTTAATGAGTTCTTACGTATAAGCCAAGCATTCTGTGAGGCATTAAAGGCGTTAACATACAGCAGTAGTGAATAAGGTAGGTAAGAGCCACTTAGTTCCGTTTCACAACTATTTATTTACTCTGCTGTCTTTTGTAGATGACGTGGCACAGGAGCTAACCCCCAGCACACTGTTCTTACCGTAATTGTAGCTTTTAAGAACTCTTTAGGAAGCAACTTGCTCAGGCACACATACCTACTGTGTTGTGCCATCTATTCACTGCGAACAGTCGGCTGCAGGTCACTGTCACCACTGCAGGGATGGTCAGGTGGGGCAGGGTGTTGGCTGCCACATGGGTTACAGGGGAATTTGAAGGAAACTTCAGCACCATTATCACGTCCTGTTGCATCTGATCTTTAAACATGAGTGGACTCTGTGGAAGGAAACACTGTTCAATAGAAAAGGAAGAGGGCAGAGGAAAACAAAAGGGACAACATAGTTAGTGACAGTCCAGGGCGAGTGAGGTTAAGCAGACAAGGCTAGTATGAGCACACACAGGGGGGACAGAACAACCTGAACTTTCCTACTGGAGAACGCCTGCCCCAGCTAGAGCACCTTACACCGAAGGAGGGCCCAGGAAGCAGAGGGCAAGGGCTCTGCGAAGTCACAGATCTAGGGACACAGAATCATTAACAACCAGCCTCGATTCAAATATCGCCAGACTACAACGTGAAGCCAGCTCATAGATATGTCTGTTTCACGATGCAACGGAGTTATTCCGCGCAGGCAAAAAATCAGTTTGGTAGAAAAATTAGGCAAATCAGTTACTGCCCTTGTTTAGGTGAAACACAAAGTAGATTGACTAATACTTTCATTTCTATGTGGTTGATTTGGGGTCATAACTGCAGTCGAAATAATTAAAATATATCAGCCTCCATACAGCAGCCCGGTGTTCCCGTCAGTGCCTTGCCCACGTTTCTGCTCTGACACTGTTTCCTTTCTCCCTTCTAGACTGTGAGCTGACTGAGGGCCAACATTTTTTCCTCTCTTTTTCTTTTTATTAACTTTTGTTTCTCAAACATCTAGCATATGACTTGAGAGAAAGCAGACACTATACTACAAAACACTATCAATACTACAATGTAAGCAACACACAATAGGGATGCTGGAAATAATCATTATTTAGCTTTCATATGTATTTTGTAATTGTTTGCTATTCATATATATGAATTCTCTGCTACATGAACTTAGAAAGCTTAGATTTTCTCTATAAACAGTTCCACGCCAATTTAGTCTCTTAACAATTTCCCCTAGGAAAGTAATGGATTTTGACTGGGCATTTCTCCAG